TTTTCACAACTTAACATTTTAAAATTTAGTTGCAAATTTTTGGCCCTCAGTTGTGATTGTCCAAATCTTACTTAGAACAGAATAAGTTTATGTGTTTAACCCCTAATTCTAGCCTTCATCCAAACAACTTCTGCACAGTTTATTCATGTTGAAAAAACAGCAACACAAAATACATTCATGTCTACTAAAAATAAGCAAACTGTGTTTAAAAATGTATGATTTTTTCTTTGGTTGAAACTAAACCTGACTGATTATTATCGAAGTAGTAACTGCAGGACGGAGCATCATTTTCTGGAAGAAATGTTTTATCACATGCTCCACTATGATTTGGCAAAACATTGTAAATACCAGAAATATTTAACGGCACTAAATGTGTGAAATGAGAGGCAAAGGAAATGGTAAACATCTACTCAATCATTAGAAACAAAGACAATTCTAATTCTAACCTAGTTGTAATGATGCGGCTTAACAAACATTTTATAATCAAATACATGATGCAATGGATTTCCTGTTATTCCGTTATTAAGAGCCCATCTTCTAGAACAGCTTATTCACAAACAAGTGAAACAATTTGACTATTTAGATTTTCTAAGGAAAACATAATACTGTGTGCCTGAGTGAGTGATTGTCTAACAAAAACTACCCTTTTAAAACAAATCAACCTACATATATTATTTGACAATACAAAAAAGTACTAAAAATGTAATTGCACCATTGCTCAGAAAGTTTCCATACATAATTAAAATAATTTACATAATTAAATCAGAGTATCTTAAATCTGCATTTGTAAAACAAAAAAAGTGCATCATACAATGTCTACTTGGTTTGTTGATCACAGCTAAGATGAGGTTTTAGACTTCCCCTCGCTGTAGACACATTTTGATTTGTTGGGCAGGGATGACGAGGTTTAAGGTGGATATATTTAAAGAAATTACAAATAAAAAACTAAACCATACAGTTTTTTGTTGAGATTTGCTGATTGAAACCCGACATCAGTTGGTTTGATTAACTTTTTTGCTCAGAAGAATTAGTGAATTTTCCCTGCAACTTGTCATCCACCTTATTTTGCTTTTTAAACTTCTTTATTAGATGTAGATTCCAGTGGAATTGTAAGACAGGGGCGAACTTCTGAGCGGAATATGATCTAAAATCCTCTCTAAGAGCAAAAAAGAAGGAAGACTACGGATACCAAGGTGTGGGGTAAAACAGAAACCCTACATCTCCAACATTTCTCATCCGAGGGGCGACTGCTGCGTCACCCTGACTGAACCTGATCAGCACTCTGCTATGTGGATGCAGATAAACTCCTGTATGCATTTTTTATACTGCTGCTCGGTGGGGCTGCTGATTGGGTATTGACCTGGCTGTCCAAACGGTCCCTCTGACTCCCGCATTTCGTCATTCATCCTGGCCAGTCGCAGCCTAAAACAAAGACGGGACAAGCAAAATCTGAGTTTACGTAAAAACTGGACGGAAGCGCTGGAGCTGAAGTTCAACAATTCATTAACATACAGCGTGACGATATCTGCATTGGCTTGCTGCACGGCTATACTCAAAGGGTCCATGCCTTCTTCATCACAGTCATTCTGCGCAGCTCCTCTTTTGAGAAACAAACACACCTGTCTGGAAACAAACAAACAAAAAAAGGGTTAAAAACATCCAATTAAAGCCTAATTTAAAACAATATCAAAATGTATATTGTCACTCTGTGTAAGCAGCCGTTATATGTTTGTCTGTTGTTTCAGCTTTCAGAGATAGATATAGACTTCTGACCATTATTAATTTATGTTCAAGAATTTCATGAATTAATTTAAGAGGAACTACTCATTTTCATAAGACTAGGGCACTTTATATGTAAAAGGATATCAGAGCAACATGATCACCCTGTTATGCCGTAAGGCATGATTTTAACTTTAGAGATTGGGGGCCGATGCCCATGCTGGCTTTCTTAGAGCATTGCTGGAGGAGGATAAAGTTTTTCTGATCTACTCATCCCCATTTGATGAAGCCACATAAGAGTAACACTGTCTTGTCCAGCTAATCAATTAAGTAGCCTCTTGATGTAAAGTACTTAGAACCTGAGACTTTATATATATATATATATATATGTGTGTGTGTGTGGGTGTGTGTGCTTATCTAGAATAGAAAAGAAAATCCCTTTATTGTCCGACAATAAGGGAAATTCTGGTGTTTACGGCGGCAAAAAGATTATAGAAAAAATGGTCACCCAAATGTGGACCTCAGAAAAATTTGTAAAAATAACATAACAGTGTAGAGTTAAAAGATAAACAGTAAAATACTGTGCTCTAAAGTGTTTTAACAATATAAATACTGTGCAACTGCAGAATGAATGACCAAAATACAGCTATGGACATTATTCCAGTAAAGGTAATTGAAAATAGCAGCAACATCAGATATGTGCAAAATGACAGCACTATGTTATTTAACTGACTAAGGTAGAAACTGTGCAAAATCAGCATGAATGTCCAGTATCAGCCCAGAAACATAATACATTGAGGTGTCTTTTTAAGTATAAGTCATGGCAAAATAAATAACCTCAACATGTTGGGAACAGTGGGGCTTATAAAGTCTTACAGCTGCCGGGAGGAAAAATCGGTGATAATCT